AGGGGATCTCGTAGTCGAGCAGTCTCGACTAGAGCTTTCTTACTTGTTGTAAATGTTTTCATATATTTCAACCAACTAGCGAAAAAGCAGCTATTAAATGAGAACTCAGCTTGAGAAGCGATTTTTAAGAGATGATAAAGGAAGAAAAAACCAGGAGAGAGTGAGGAATAAAAAGATAAATATGTATAAGCAGACAGGAAAGAGAGTAATTGTTAAACAGAAAAGAAACACAAATATAATGAAAAGAAAATCTCTCGATAGGGAGTTTATGTGTGTGTGTGTGAGAGAGAGAGAGAGGGAGAGAGAGATAGAGGCATGCACAGAGAGAGAGAGAGAGAGAGAGAGAAGGAAAGAAAAAAGGAAATAGGCACAGCGAGGGAGGGAGGCGTACAAATAAAGTGAGTAGGCATAAAGTGAAAAAAAAAAACAAGGGAAGCCGATATTAAGGAGGAATGAAAGAAAGAGAGAAAAAATGGGTGAACAAGATAAAATACAATATAAAGACAAAAAGAGATTTACACGGACAGTGATAGATGTAGAGAGAGAAAGAGAGGGAGAGATAAATAGAAAGGAACAAAAAGAAATGTATGTGGGTATGAGGAGTCAGGGAGGGACAAGGTAACAAAATGGGAAAAGATAGAGAGGGAGAGATCAGAGCAGCAAAGCAAAAGTGGATAAGATGAAAGAAATCAGCAATTGATTTTTTTTAATACATATTTACAGAATTTGTACCATAAACAAACATGTATTTAAATGATAAATGAATTATTAAAAATTCTATAAGTATGAAAATTAAATAATTTTATTTCCCTAAGAAACATTTTAATTTAATTGTGGATTTTGCTAGCAGCTTTTAATATATTAGAATTAGAATTAATATATTAGAATTTAAATGTGAATATTTAAGAAATGGATACTTATACAATACACATATAGACATACCAAAGTTCAAACCAAAGGATTATAGCATTTCCTTGCTGTGCTCTTATTAAAAACTTTTGTTTCCTTAAATGAACGCAGCATTTCAATTTAGTGAACATGGTTATTATTCTTTTGGAATGTCTTATAAATTGTTTGTGTATGGGACACACACACACATATACCCATTTGAGCATCTGCCACACGGACTTGAATTTCATTAACACGATTCGGTGGGAGCAGCTTAGCAGCTTAGAAGTGATGGCCATACATCAAGGATGAAGGATGAGGACTCTTATGAATGTAGATGTGTATGCACAGCATGCAGCAATGTGCAACACGCTCGAATGTTTGCCTGTGTGTGTAGGTGTGTGTGTGTGTGTGTGTGAGTGCAAATAAATATATGGCACGCATAGTAACGTTAACTGATGTCGCTGTCAGGTCTATGATGGGCGTTTGTTGCCGGTGCCAGGGGGGCCAGGGGAGGTG